CGTCGGAAGCCGGCAATGTGGCTTTCGAGTAGTAACAAACTACTCAGTGCAACAGAACAGCCGCAATATGTTAGCGTAAGGGACATAAACGGCTCCTAGAACGTCAAGTCAGCCGCTGAATACGAAGATTGTTGACAACCAAATAGTTCATTCATATACTTAGTTTTCGGTAGCAGTCCACACCGAGGCCGGTGGTCAGCAACATTGTTTACGCGTCCTACTTTTAAGCATTCTTGGTCATAGAAGTGAGTAGCCAGTGACTCCATCGCTGGTCACCTTGTCTTTGACAAAGTGTAGTACGAGATCTTGTGGTACCTAATGGAGAATCCGGTGGCCAACCCAGAACACTCCACGCTCTAAGACACTACCAATGATTGTCCGCGACTGCTTATTCACCTCCTGCAAAGCAACCGAGACTTATTCACCGTTACATTATGCTTTGCACTCCGTGATGGTTTACGAATAGTTAGTGTACTAATCAAGTATCGGTAATATTCAGGGCTTCGATACTAGTCAAAGATTGTGAATTAGTGATTGTGTTCCTCAGAACTGTGCGAGGAACTGCAACCATTGTGACAGGTTATTTCGTGCCGACAAAAATTAGATGATGACTGTCTTTGATTAAAAATCTTTGCTGATATATTGTGCTTTTTTGCTGTTTGAATATATACTTATCTTCTTAGCAGAACACTTGTCTATCTACGTAACGCACAAAACAAAACTTGAATTTCACTAGATATCGAACAAAGCAGCGAGTAATGGCAGCGTTGTTTTCCTTGTTTTATCTTAACACGATAGCACATAGGTAACTCTACAGCCACCGGTACAATATAGTTGTGCATGAGAAGGGTTAAGACCACGCTGTTTGGTATTACATTTCGTTCAATTGTGATAGCCACCCGTTGATTTTATTCCCTGATACGAAGAATGTCGATGTGATGCATGTTATGGCTATCCGCTCGGGATACCGCACTCCATCACCGACTTCGTACCCATTTGTGATCATCTTGTTGCGATATCAGGACTGCGGTTCTGACCCGGGATTTTTGCGACGTCAGTCAAAGTCGCTTCCGACGAGCCGAAACATTTTCGGGTCGCAGTCATGCCATCTACACGAAAAGTTCACATCTCTCTGCTTCAGATGCGGTCCCAATGACCGAATCAGCCAAAAGTTCCTTTCATGTGAACCATGTTTCAGATGTGATTGCGTGTTTCTACCCATAAACTGGAGGGGTACTTTACATCGACCGCAGGCAGGGACCGAAAGGATGAAATATCTGTCTTGTAACTCAAGGTTCACAAGTTCAAATCTGCTTAGCCGTGAGCTACCATGCAGTATACTTGGCTTCCACATGACTGGTGGTGGTTGTGCGGCAGCAAATCATCAGTACGGTGGGTGAGCATATTGTTGTTGTTGTTGTCTTGCTTTCGTTCTTTTCTTCCCAATAACCCGCCAAATGTCATTAGCGGTTGTGACAAGTGTTGTTCGACGCAGCCGATTGGCACTAGAACAGAGGCTCAGACTGATATCCTAAAGGACTCGGTTTCCTGTTACAGCCCTGCCGCGTTCACCTAACGAGTGGAAACGGATACGAGACGGCTCGTCGAATGTAGTGTTGCGAGCGATAAAAGCTAGCATCCATCAGCTTCAGACGAGCTTCCAGTGACTGAATTGACCAAAAGTATAGGGCTAATATTTGCCCGTGACCAAATCATGACCAGCTCCGAACCACAGGTATCGCTTAGTCATTCACTTAAAAGCTCATTGGAACTGTACAACAAATGTTACTGCCATCGAACGTCTGGCACAAAAGTGGTGTGGGGTGCTACTCAGATGCTAACAGTAAGAGTCGTGCTGAATACGGAAGTAGGGAGAACAGTTAGATTGGGTGAACCAAACGTGTATTGACAAAAGATAGTAAGCAAAGCAGGTTGGTAGTGGCAGACAGTAGTATGCAACGTGGTTCATGAGGAGAGCAAGCGATTGCCATGTACAGTTAGTTTAACAAATAGATGGTCGGAAGCAATAAAAAAATCCAATGTCTCAAAATACTGAAAGTGTGCATGTTCATGCTCAATACCATGGTGAGGTAGTAGAGCTAGTATCTACTTGCACATTCACCAGTTTATCGCCACAAAGAATAAAGCTATATAAATGTACTCTCAAGCAGTTTATCTAAACAGAAATGCCTATTGCTACCGATTTCTTTGTTTAGATTCACATAAGCCTTTTGTGTCCTAAATTAAACATTGCAGTGACTGATTGGACGAGGCTATACAACTTTTCATCGACCTTAAAAGAATGAATCGACTGAAAGTCACGCAACTGACGGCAGTAAACGATCAGTAAGCCATGTGACAGGCAGTCAAGCCGATTAGACAGCAAACAGCTTACATCAGTGAGACGTTTGGTATTCCCTCTGTGATCACGATCGTAACCTTAGTACAGCTGTTATCATGACTCGGCGCGCTGGCCTGAATGTCGCTCACTAGATCAAAGGGAGAAGAATCGCTGTATGATTGTTAAAATATTTGCATGCTGCGACACTTGGGAGGTTTCTGAACTCTTGACTACCCAAGTGAGAGTAACATTTGGAATCTGCCTTAATTGATAGTTCCAGAAAGACTTTGTTCAATAGGTCATCAAATCTGATTCGGTCTTCGTGTACAGGTAAGGTACTCCTATAAGCTGCAATTACTGTGGATGCATATAGCAACTAACTTTGTTTTAGCTGAGGTAGAGGGTTGGTGCAAAGACCAGTAACGCTGTGCCACGTGCTGGGGTGATCGATCTTTAGTGGCAAATTAGCTAAACTCGCCACTTTTAGAAACTTATTGCTCTTGCATACATTGCAAGGAAATGAATCATTTGAGTGCAGTTTCCCCTCCAGTCGGAAAACATGCGTGAGCTCGGTACACACATATTTACTGCCTCCGTTAACTCAATTAGAACCATGTTTGCAAGCTCAGTTATCAAATTACAGTCTAAGATGAGGTACTTGTTTTGTGCAAATGAGCGAGTGTAAGTCCCATACGCAATGGAGAATGCTAGTTGGAGGTCCACCTCCAGGATAAATGGCTGTGCCGGCCACAGACTTGCTACGGGCGACAGTCTTAACAAGGACCAGTCACACCAAATGAGGCTCCGTTCAATTGATGAGTGGCAACGTCTTCTTCTTCTTAGATATTCGGAGCTGAATAGTCAGTTAAAGCCGTTTCAATATTGCACTGGTGCAACCTGAAACTATTTCAACTGATACCATCTTCCGCAAAATATTTGCTCACTCCATAGTTACCAAATTGCGTTGTGTAGTTGAGTCTGGGGCATCAATGGACTACAGAGCAGTGGATATTTCATTTTAGGAAATAACTATTTCATGGGAACCCTGTGGAGCTGGGACCCGTAGCCCCACTGCACGGTAGTAATGTGTTCGTCGGTGCGAGAGGGGAGGCACCGCATCACATCTAGTAAATAACTCATGTCACTCTTTGCCTCCTGGCGTGCCCCAGTGGTCTTAATCATGGACTGGTAACAGTCGGGTTGCGGGTTCTACCTCCACAGAGGTCAGATGGAATACACACTGCTGATGGCACCCAAGAGGATGCAAAGGCTATCCATTGCCTCTTCGGACTTGTGAAGGGTGCCTGAGTTTAGATCTGATGAATTTCCGATTATACCACCCCAAACCTACACTACTCTTCTGAAATAAGTATTTGTTGATACTGTTACGTAAATTTAATTTCCAAGTGCTGCTATCTTCAAGGTACTTTTAATGAACTTTAAACGGTGTTTCTTTACAAAGGCCTAATCCATATATGCAAATGTCCAGAGTTCAAAGCATACAGTATTTTCATTCCTGTTAATTTGTACTTGATGTGTCAGCGTGATTCATCCATTGAAAGTGGAAGCTTATGCAAATGGTAGGCTATTGAAGTTGTTAACCACCTTTCTGGTTATAGTTCGCTAGAGCTCCAAGCCAGCCCAGGCTGAACGGAGCAAGTCACACCAACATATTAATCGTGACAAAATTACTAACAATTATCCGACAAGTTACAGTTAGCTGTGTCTGCTTATGATGGAAGGTGAACTGTCTGCGTGCGGTTTCAGTCACAGCTGCTCTCGAATTATCGTCACTTTCATGAGAAAGCATATTGGCTTCAGCAATGACCATGCAACAGATCCAAGCGTTTTAAACGATCAGTGTCGCCATGGTCAAACGCGGTCAGGAAGTACTGATGAAAAGTACTCAAACTTAAACAGAGTGTTTTAGTTCGAAAATAAGAGTTTTCATTAGATTGAAACTGAAACGTTTGTGCATCTCGTGCTGGTTACTTTCTACCGAATCTTCTAGTTTCAGCACATTCACATGAAATGCATCACTTTTGCGGAAACTTGCATGCAGTCGCATGGTGGCTAGTGGACTCGAGTCGTTTGTATGAATACTTGAACATTCATCGCCTAAATAAACTAGAGCGCATCACACATGTGGTGAGAAAAACACAGCAAGCTGTCCATTACAGACACCTGCATTTTTTCCAATTCTCGTCTTTGTTGACGGGGGGAGGTGCTCCTATAAATTCACCTGTCTAATTACTTGTCACATGCAAAGTGCTCTTTGGACTGGTAACGCTTTCCAACTTTAAAACTGTGTCGAAATAACGACAACGGTAGTCTCCCCGCTCGATTACTTGGTTTTAACAAGCACATTACAGAAGCACCGCAAGATCGACATTAACGCAATGATGTGGCAATTATTTTTACCCTATTAATTCTAATTATTGTGTCATCGCGATTCTGATAAATGCGAGTGAAAATACGAACCAAAATTTCCAGCTGCAGATATGTCACAGCCTCACCGGTGACGTACCTATGCCATGTAACTTTGCCTTTCTAACGCTTGTACTCATTTCATAATAGTAAGCCAACTATCAATTTCACTGTCACTTTCACTACAACGTAGTGGATGTCTAAAATGACAATGGATCTAATCTTTTTACAGGTTGTTTGACGAAGATTGTGCCAACACGGAACTATCTTTTGTACGACATTTTCGTCCGTATTCCTCCTCCAAGGCACTTTGTGCTCTCTCTGGAATTATTGCCTTTTCATTTGTTGGCGCGCAGTCGCTCCCACCGCACACTCATTCCATTGGCCTCATCATAATGACTCGTTGTAATGTGGCAAACAAGCATATACCTGTGAAGAAGGTATTTTGCAGTGTTGCACATAAATCTGATTCTCCGTCTCTTTTGGACAACAACAATAACGAGAATGAGCAACAGGAATCCCGCTTGCTCGCTGTGATACAACTAAAGGACATGAATGATCAATCATACTGTAACACAAACGGTTCCCTCATTCTAAAAGGTGAATCGAAGATCCACGCACTTAACTGTGATGATACCGACCAACCCAAGGAAAGATGTTCGCCGAAGGAATTACTCCTCAAAAGCTGGAAGTCTGCTGGTGTACTTTTCGATAGTGAGCGACCAAAACGCATATTTGACCGTAGAAGAGAGACGAGAACTAGAACCAACTCTGATGTTCGATCATACGAGAAAGGTATTGTCAGCGGTGTGGTAATTAATGAAATCGGTGATCAGCAAAACTGCGATTTTGACCAGGAAGACAAGAAAACACAGCTGGAGCCTCCACGTGATAAAGGTCATCCTCCAACTCTAAATGATCACGATACTCATGTGGCTGTACTTCCCTACACACGGCTGCTCAACGGATGCACTGAAGAACGAGGTGATAGTGATTCCAGGCTTGAATGTCCAGATGTCCTGGGAAGTACGGAGATTTTATCGAACCCAAGAGGTGAGTGTCTCATATCAAGTGAGACAAGCACTCTAAATCACGCCCCTGAAATTGAGGCTTCAGACACCGAAAGTCAACAAGGTGATCTGGTGTATGAGGCAGAGCGACCACCATCTACTGATGGAAAGGAAGTGGGTAATGACGCGAAGGTTTTGGGTGGCGCAGCTGAGCACAACGGCACAAATCTAATTGTGAATTATTTGCCGCAAAACATGTCTCAAGAGGAAATACGGAGTTTATTTGCTACAATCGGTGAGGTGGACAGTTGTAAACTGATACGGGATAAAAGCACAAGTGAGTGAATATGAGCTGGTACTAACTAGATACTATTCGGTATTAGGGATAAGCGCAACGCAAATATTCATAAAGGGTCAAAAATGGCGGTTACTGCTTTTTGTTTACTATGTACCTTCGTGCGATGCATTTCAACCTCTGCATGTCCGTATTATAAACGGTTGACATTACGCTATATATATATATATATATATATATATATATATAATAGTTTTTATGGTATGCATATTCATGTTCAATGGGAATCGATACAACTCAGTTATCTGCAAACTTGTGAGAAGACTCTACGCTCACTTCATTCAGTTTGCTGAATCTTGCGAATTCCACCATTCAGGCTCAGATCGTCCCTCTTGACAGGTTCGAAAATTCGAAAAACCGAATTTATAGGACTAACGATGAGTACTTCCAAGTTCAGTTACACTGAGTACAATGGTCATACAAAAATAAGTTGTCCCCTCCACGACATAAGGACCAAATATCCGAATAGTGTATGTCAATATAAAGGAGCTCGCTCACTATCTTGGAACATATTTGGAACCGATCGGGAAGACATCATTTCAGAAAACTTGGTAAACGACCGTGTATCCTCATAAATACATTAACCGGTCGTTTACCAAGTTTTCTGAAATGAGCTCGCTCACTAATTATTCACAACTTTGTTAAATAACGCGCGCATACCGAGGTACATTCGACCTACAATGGTGGTAAAATATTACGTGTCATTTAGTGGCCTCAGTCATTCCATCCAAGCCTGAAGACTGTCATCCAGTTGGAACATGTCTTTTTAAATTTTCTTGCTCTTGTACTGGAGGTGTGGTGAGAATCTGCAAGCATGCATAAGATGGTTGAAGGGAAACAACGAACATCGCTGACTTATGCTTTCACAAAGTGCTTCCTTTGAGGCATCTGAGAAAGCTGAGGGTAACTTATACTCAACCCGCGCGCGACGGGTGGTGGTCGCGCGGCAGCGAAGCGCCGTTACTGCGTACAGCTGACACATTATTATTATTATTTTATTTATACCTTGACGTAGCTCGAGCATACCTGTGAGATACGTACCCAGTGGATTCAGCCTCAATACTCTTAGTTCCGACAAGCTGATGGTTATATTTTGCCTCTAAACTACAGTACCGGACTTCTTAAGGAAAACATTACGCACATCAATAACATCAATAAACGTTAGCTTAGGGTGAGAATCACACCTCGGCTAATGTGCCGCAATACAATAAAGATAAGATACTAAAATTTACAGACTATAAAAATTCATAAAGGTGGTGTTGTATTGTTAAATATCATATTATTCAATTGAACTGAGATCGTACCTAGATGGGGAATCTAAAGTTATGTCCAACCAAACGTGTTCATTTGGGACTCCAGCCCGGCAGTCAAGATGCAGCAACCGACGCCAACTTCGAAGTAACCAAGTCATCGCTTAGTCTCCCCCTTTCTCTTCCATCCAGACCCAGGGCACGCAAACAACGGGAGTCAGTAGGCTAGCACGTGGCCCAGCCATCGTAGCCTGGTGCGTGATATAAATGTGCTGAGCGATTCACTCGCTCTGCCTGTAGTAAATACGCGACGCCGAACACAATCCTTGCTCGCACGGCGCTCTCACCAGACATGAACTAAGCCGCGAACGCAGCTATGCCCTAACGTAGCTATCCTCTTTATATTCCTCGACCTGATGGGCTAAGTTTCAGAAACGTATAAGAGAGTTGTACAGACGGCTGCATTGTAAACTCTACCCTTCAGAGTGAGAGTGAAGACGCGTCGGCGGCACCGGTGGGGGAGAGGGGCAAAAAGAACTCCGGCTTTTGCCAAATGATTGGTGATCACATTTTCTATTCCACCGGCGCCAATATAGCTGCCAAGTTACTTGAATTTATTCTCGAATTCTAGCTGATCCACACCAAGGGTCAATGCAGGGGTGGCTCCATGCCAATCTTGAAGAAAGACTGGGTTTCGAGGGAGCAAAGAACAGCTTAAAACACTTCACAGCCAGTACTAATCTGTCCAGTGTTGCATGGCACGTTTGGGCGCTGTCACAAAGTAGGGCAATGTCCTCAGCATACATCGTGTCAAGAAGCCGCTTACCAGAAAGCAACTCCACACCTTATAAATCGTGTCCAGGGAACGCTATTTCCATCACTTCTTCAATAGTGAGGTTAGAGAGTAGTGGTGACAGCGGACAACTTTGTCTCACATCACTGGAGGTATTGAAGGGCGACAACAGTTTGGTACAAACCCTCACTCTGCCCGAACTATGCGCGTACAGCGCTCTGAGTATCTTTACGTATTTTTCGGGCACACCGTTACTGAGCAGACAGTCTCAAAGGACACATCAATCCATCGAATCGAAGACACATTTGAGGTGGAAAAACAAGACTACCGTGGGTCGTCGATAAATATGGCATTGGTCCAACGACTGATGTGAAATAAAGATGTGTCGATGCAGCCTCGTTTTCGGCGAAACCCAGCTTGCTCCTCGCGAAGCTGACTTTCACGTGTGTCAGTAAGTCTGTGGAGAACGACAGAGGCAAACAATTTAGGCAATTGAAATCAGACTTATCCCTCTATGATTGCTGCATTCGAAACGTTAGCCCCGTTTGAAAATTGGGACTATCACGAAGTGGCTCCAGTCTGTTGGAACAGTCTCTCGCTCCCACAATGTCACTAGTAACTCGTGTAACTCATCTAAAGCGCAAGTTTGCCTAATTTGAAGAGGGCTGGGGAATTCTGTCTGTTCCTGCGGCCTTATTCATTTTAAATAATCTGATCTCACGTGCAATTTCTAGGCGTGGGGTCGGATCCAGGGGTCGGCCCAGGGAGTAGGACGATCAATTGCCGGCGGAGAAGCTGACAAATCTTGCTGATTGAATTGCTTCTCAGTGTTAGACTCAGAGCTCCAAGCATTCTAACAAACTGTGGATCAGTTGTCCACTTTCGTCGCATGTGGTCTCGCTAAAATCAAGTCTCCTGCTGCCGTTTTCCCGTATCAGACGGGATAACTTAAGATGGTTACCAACGTCTGGTTGTTTCTACTTCTGATGCACGATAAGGCCACCATACCTCGTGGCCTCACTTTAGGCTAGCACGCAGTTTTTGCCCTGAGATTTTGCAAGTCGCATTATTTTCGCTTCCAGCCAGAATAACTTGGCGAGCATCCAGAAGTTCCAGGAACTGTGTAGAGACCCAATGTTCAGGTTGGTAGTTTGATGTGCTGCATTAAAGACATACCTGCTGATAGTAACATCTGGCGAATATGCGACCAGTGACTTTCAGCGGTGTTCCGTGGACCCTTACTCAGCCTGAATGCCAGTGTAGCAGATGTGTATTCAGAACATCTGGCTTTGCCAGTTGGCCGGTGTCTTTGCGCTCAGAGCCACGGTGCGGGCGTCCGCCAAAAAGCACCAGAAATCCTCACGCACAAGAGCGTGCTCGGAGTCTACACTCGTGCTCCAAATCGAGCGACAGTTTTGGATGCAGCCTATCCTGCATTAACTGCTTGCAATGTAATCGATGTATCTCCATGGCTGGTCCGAGGCTGTTTGGCGCCAATTCACCGTCCTGCGAGTGCTGTGTCTAACATTAGTGCACACGAGAAAGAAAGAAGCATTTTCACACAGTTGCATCAACCACGCAGTGTTATCATTACAGCAGCCTACACCATGTTGACCATCCAGGTTCAGTTCATCAGAGGACGATTTTCCGACTTGGGCGTTCAGATCACCAGCAAGCACAACAGTAACAATACTTTTTAAGTAATCTGGGAGCGTTATATCGGTGATAGAATTCGTCTTTCACCGAATCAGTGCTACAGTTGATGACAAACAGACACCGTTTGTCCACGCGCGACTTCGGAGCCTGGAACGAACCAGTCAAACTAAAGTTGCACATCCGACTGTTCATTAGGATCCAGTCAACCAGGGCAGCTTCAGCCAGGAACTCAAACATTGTCCACGCCGACTTAACCGGCGTTTGAAGCTGCCTCATCTCCAGACAGACGCAAACAGAATGTACCGCCGGTGTCGGCTGTGGGGGGATGGCGGGGTAAGCACGGAGCTCGGATCTTGCAGGCGGGTTTCCGATAAACCCTACGGTGATCGTGCAAGTGCTGCCTGTTGGCCAATCTACAACAAAGTGCGTACATTGAGGTATGCCAGTCTTAGCGAGGATAGATGATTACAAGGTGAAACGGATGAACTGACATTGTCCGCTTCGTTGAGCAAGAACTTTCCGATTGGACTGGAGCTACGCCCTGCAATTGTGTGTGAGTCGAAACTAGGTTGCAAGCGATTATTGAAGCAAGACGTGGGAGGGCCAAGAATTGGGTACTGAAAACAGGAGGGCTACCATTTGGAGGGGCACGACAAGGATGGAAAAGCGCAAGAGGGGGAATAAGAAGACGGTAAAGCCTAAGTAATAGCATGCAAACCCCTATCCACCTTGCTCGATGCAGCGTATAGGACGCCATTTATTATCTGCGACGGCCAAAGCATCAAGATTGTTCAAAGAGAAAGCCATTGTGTTGAATGTACCTAAGCTCAAGTATCTATGACGCTTAGAAGGTAAGTCGATTACTGATGCCTGGGTTTAACACAAACGATTTGCAATGCACCATTGTGAAGGCGATAACGAATCAAGTGCATGCGTGCAACTTTTTCAGTTTGCAATTGTGTGTTACACCTATCCTCCCGCCACCTCGATCCCTACACTGGACATAAGTCGAAAGCTGGTTTTTTCAGCTTTTATCCTCAATTTATTGCTCAATCTCTCGCCGTCTAGGTATATCCGGCGCACAATTTTAACTTGATAAAGCTAGGTGCTCAGATGCTGATTTGTTCGCTACGCTGAGTAATTTGCGTGCGGGCGTTTCGTCACCAATGTAGGGGACATCTTCAGTGCGTGTTAGTATTAGTAAGCATAGTATTGGTACTAATAATAGTGGTGGTAATAACAATAATGTGTCAGCTGTACGGCGTAACGGCGCTTCGCTGCCA